ATTATCTGTATATGTCTCGTGCCGGAGTGATTGACAGTACTACATGTAATTTTCTGTATATGTCTCATGTCAGAGTGATTGCCAGTACTAATTATCTGTATATGTCTCGTGCCAGAGTGATTGACAGTACTAATTATCTGTATATGTCTCGTGCCAGAGTGATTGACAGTACTAATTATCTGTATATGTCTCGTGCCAGAGTGATTGACAGTACTAATTATCTGTATATGTCTCGTGCCAGTGATAGACAGTACTAATTATCTGTATATGTCTCGTGCCGGAGTGATTGACAGTACTAATAATATGTATATGTCTCGTGCCAGTGATTGACAGTACTAATTATCTGTATATGTCTCGTGCCGGGGTGATTGACAGTACTAAGTATCTGTATATGTCTCGTGCTAGAGTGATTATCAGTACTAATTATCTGTTAATGTCTCGTGCCAGAGTGATTGACACTACTAATTATCTGTATATGTCTCGTGCCAGAGTGATTGACAGTACTTATTATCTGTATATGTTTCGTGCCAGAGTGATTGACAGTACTAATTATCTGTATATGTCTCGTGCTAGAGTGATTATCAGTACTAATTATCTGTTAATGTCTCGTGCCAGAGGGATTGACAGTACTTATTATCTGTATGTGTTTCGTGCCAGAGTGATTGACAGAACTAATTATCTGTATATGTCTCGTGCCAGTGATTGCCAGTACTAATAATATGTATATGTCTCGTGCCGGAGTGATTGACAGTACTTATTATCTGTATATGTCTCGTGCCGGAGTGATTGACAGGACTTATTATCTGGATATGTCTCGTGCCGGAGTGATTGACAGGACTTATTATCTGGATATGTCTCGTGCCGGAGTGATTAACAGTACTTATTATCTGTATATGTTTCGTGCCAGAGTGATTGACAGTACTTATTATCTGGATATGTCTCGTGCCAGAGTGATTGACAGTACAAATTATCTGTATATGTCTCGTGCTAGAGTGATTGACAGTACTAATTAGCTGTATATGTCTCGTGCCAGTGAATGCCAGTACTAATAATATGTATATGTCTCGTGCCGGAGTGATTGGCAGTTCTTATTATCTGTATATGTCTCGTGCCAGGGTGATTGACAGTAATAATTATCTGTATATGTCTCGTGCCAGAGTGATTGACAGTACAAATTATCTGTATATGTCTCGTGCCCGTGATTGACAGTATTAATTATCTGTTTATGTCTCGTGCCAGTGATTGACAGTATTAATTATCTGTTTATGTCTCGTGCCGGAGTGATTGACAGTACTAGTAATATGTATATGTCTCGTGCCAGTGATAGACAGTACTAATTATCTGTATATATCTCGTGCCAGAGTGATTGACAGTACAAATTATCTGTATATGTCTCGTGCTAGAGTGATTATCAGTACTAATTATCTGTGAATGTCTCGTGCCAGAGTGATTGACAGTTCTAATTACCTGTATATGTCTCGTGCCAGTGATTGACAGTATTAATTATCTGTATATGTCTCGTGCCAGGGTGATTGACAGTAATAATTATCTGTATATGTCTCGTGCCAGAGTGGTTGACAGTACTAATTATCTGTATCTGTCTCGTGCCAGAGTGATTGACAGTACTTATTATCTGGATATGTCTCGTGCCGGAGTGATTGGCAGTTCTTATTATCTGTATATGTCTCGTGCCGGGGTGATTGACAGTACTAAGTATCTGTATATGTCTCGTGCTAGAGTGATTATCAGTACTAATTATCTGTGAATGTCTCGTGCCAGAGTGATTGACAGTACTAATTATCTGTTTATGTTGCTGCTCTCCTTTGATGCATTGTGTAAATTTTAGCCTCGCAACACGTTCAGACAGATTGTACCTTTCATTGGTTTTACAATGGCATTTGGGTGGACTTTCTGCAGAAACGTCAATATCGATAGAGTAGACCGAGACAGACAGACATTCTGTATTACCTCCTTTAGGAGATTTCATATGTCAAAACAAATTTATATATATACAGTATGCAATTTTTATTCTCTATCTTGAACGCGTAATACGCATTCAGGAAAAAGCACTATTGATGGTAATATAAATCATGGAATACGTACATTCCCTTGTCGTTATTATTTTCATATGAAACAATTGATGATGATATATAATGCAATACGTATATTTCTTTTTCTGTATTATTTTCATAGGGAAATGGCACATGGGCCTCAGTAAGGACACTTATGGGGATCATCTGTTGCACCCAATGAACCAAGGCTTTGACCAGTACTACGGACATATACTGACCAATATGAAGGACTTTAGTGGGGACGGCGAACGAGTGCTCCTGTCGCAGCGGCCTAGAATTTACTATCAATTAGGTGCTCTCGTCACGTTAGGGCTGCTTCTGTTTGTCTGGCTTTACAGGCAAGCTTACATCGGCAAGGTGTCCATGGTGATCGGGTTCCTCCTCGTGCTAACTCCTGTGGTCTATTTTGTCTTCATCTTCAACAATTTGAGGATGTTGAACGGCATTGTCATGAGGAATCACGATGTTGTGGAACAACCAATAAAATTGGAGAGTCTGATGAAGAGATACGTCCAGGAGGGTGTCGAATTCTTGGAAGCACGGGAAAAGGACAGGGAACCATTTTTGTTATTTCTTTCCTGGGATCATGTTCACACGGCAATGCGGACAAGCAAAGAGTTCAAAGGGCGCTCAAAACACGGTCATTACGGAGACTCAGTGCAAGAGCTGGACTGGGGAACCGGTGAAATCATGTCCACGATTAAAAACATGGACATAGGAAAGAACACTTTAGTTTATTTCACATCCGATAATGGCGCGCATTTGGAAGAGTCGGACATTTATGGGAACAGTGATGGAGGATCGAATGGGATTCTAAAAGGTAAACGAGGACATATTTTGTCGACATTAAGAAGTGTTTGTACTTCAAAAATCTATTATTGGACGGATTACTTTTTATGTAGTTTATCTGCAAAAGAAAAAAAAGATTTTAATCAGGATAAGGTTCCTCAATTATTTTATGTACGCGAGTTAATAAAAGTATTTTGCGCAAAATTTCTATTTTTACGTTGAAGGTGGAAAGGCGCATGGTGCTGTGGATGGAGGGATTAGGGTGCCAACTTCGGTTTGGTATCCAGGAAAACTACCTGCTAACACTACGATAGACGAGCCTACTATGCAAATGGACATGTTCACTACAATAACGAATTTGATTGGTGCAGATGTGCCACGGGATCGTCAAATCGACGGGCGGGACATGTACTCCCTCCTGGCAGGGAAGGAACGCGTCAGTCCACAAGAGTTCTTCTTCCACTATTGTGGAGGGACAGTCCAAGCTGTACGATATAGGCCGCGCTCAGGTAAGATTCACGACCGTAACAAGAACAAGTCTAGGCCAGCTAAATGATATTTAGATACTTTAGCTTGTCCAGGACAACGTATAAAAAGACTACCCTATTGCGACAGATGGTAATCTTATTTCGAGGAAACGAAATTTTATAGCACAGAATACGAATTATTCTCGATTAAGATTGGATATCGGAGGAATATTTGCACTAGTTGCGCATGAGTTGAAATGTAGGGATATACGTAAGTTAAGTTAAGTGAAAGAGTGAATAAATGAGAGCTATATTAAACGATATTTGTTGATATGAAAACCTTTTTTTTTACTTTGTAGGTTCAGTTATTTGGAAGCTTGTTTATGAGCTACCCGAGTACTTGCCAGGCACCCAGAAATGTACGTTTACCTGTAGATGCAGGGATGCCATCAAACTCGAACGGCCTTATCTTTACGACATTACGTCAGATCCGGGAGAAAATAGACCAATCGACATCACGAGCGACCAGAAATACAAGGAGTTAGCCGAGCTCATGATAAAAGCAACTGAGGAACACACATCATCGATTGTACCGGTTGACTGTAGACTTTCCTTTTTTAAAATGCTTTGGCGACCCCAAATGCAGCCCTGTTGTAATTTTCCTTATTGCAGCTGTGTCGATAGTAAATACAAGGATGTAGAATAAATTCAATTTGTGTGCTACTTATCATGTACAAGTTTCCATTACCCTTTTATAATATGAAAGAAAAACCCATTTCATTCATCGTTTAAACAAACCGTCAACAAGGAAGTTCGGGAGTTTAGAAAATATAATCAACAAATCCATGCTATGCTTTACAGTAGGACGGATGTGGGTTGCTCACCATAATGAGATTTTCTAATTGGCCGGACACCAACATGTCCCTAATGTAACAATGGAAATGTATAGCGTTAATTTCCCTCCTATCTGCATTGTTTATCATTTAGAATACTTAGATCTCTCTTTGCAGTTGTGGTTATTTGTGTCCGGTTAAATGTCGAAACATTTCAGCACGTTGTAGAAGTGAAAATGCTGGCGTTGTAACTCTTTAAATTTGTGTCGATGTCGACATTTTCGCATTGACAATGTTTCTGAATCATCTATTCTTAATGTATATTATAATCTTAATAATCTGTTTATAAATATTCGCGTGCGGATATTTTAGTGCAAGTTTACTCAACAAGAAAACGCGAATGTTTTCGAAGGCGCAGCAATTTCAACTTTTACAGTATATGCTAATGTGTTTTCGTCAGTTATTTTGATTTCACATTTTAGAATATTAAAAGATTGCTGTCAGGTGACCCGAAGTGTTCGCCCGTCATCAGGGTTCTACCTACTGTAAAAGTAAACATTTTCTGGGTGTTGAAATTTTCGCGAATTAACTTTTGTCGGCGTTTAAATATGTTTCGCGTTGTCAATGCCAATGCAATACATATTTCATAGCGTGTCACTATCTTTACGGACGTTTATTTCTCTTCGCGGGAATTTTGTAGCCCAATAGGTTATTACAGTGCGTGTTCAAGTGGAAGACAGTTGACAGGTTTTATAAGTCATGTTGGGTTAGGACGCTATATTTAAAGTAACTTCTGTTATAATATATCAATTATATTTTATACACATTAAAACTATTCTATTTACTCTTGATAACCTCCGTGTTACATATTTTGGCAGTTCGGTGATGTATGAAAGCCGAGCAACATATGGACATATGGAATAAAGAATCGTTCCATATATCTGGTAGCTTCTCTTTAAAACTCATCAGTGGATTAACAAAACAAGGCAAAAACAAAAATTAGCTAAAAACCCGCAGAAATCAAGAAAATACCCAAGTGTGAAATCAGAATCGATACAGCTGGGGTAACGCTGCGGTAAACTGGGGATAAACGACAACAAAGAGAAAACGACCGGGGCCCAGTTGTTCAAAAGATGATTCGCTTAATCACTGTTTAACGACATTTTTCAACCTTTCATAATTTCGTCAAAACTCGTAATTTTACACGTACACTTTACTCTACTAAATACTTGATATCTGGAAAGTTTTAACTAAGTCAATAGTTGTGTTTCAAAGATATACATAAATTGAAATTTGCATTAATCACTGATTAAGCTAATCGCCCTTTGAACAACTGGGCCCAGGTGTTGAAGAAGGGTAAGCGTCGTCTGCTTCGTCGACAAACAACGCCATGTAAATCTATGTAAAACCCAAGTAGTGTTATGTCTCTAAAGCGATTAGCGGGATAGTGTCCATGGCAAATAAAATCGTCTTCATGTCACACACCAAAAAATAACGTAATTTCCAATGAGATCTTATTCGCGGCCATAAATCTTGTCCACAGTCTTTATCAACCTACACCTACAGCCCGTGTTTTACTGTCAATAGTAAACGTCTATCAGGGAAAATGTAACTGTCTCAAGTTAGGACTGTTGTGAGAGGCTGATTTAAAAGAGTTTGTTGTTTCCTTGATATCAAGTTACCAAGGTATTTATACGACCAATCTGATCAATATACATTTCTTATTATTTAAATATTTCTTGTTATCGGCACAACGCCGATATATATCTGTAAAGTGTTATTGAAGTACTTGACAAGGTTTTATTACTAGTTCTCTTTGAAATGTAATAAATTAACAAATAAATAAATAAACATAAAAAGCACACGGCCAGGAGAGGAGCACTATTGGCTCCTACAGGAATGCCAGCAATCAGATGTAAAATCGTCCCACCGAGAGATTGTGGTACTCTATAACTCGGCCGCTGTCATGATTTACGCTTAAGTCTACTTAATTGATTTTTGCCTTTGTCGCGTTTTCCAATAAAATGTCCTCAACCAGAGCTTACAGAAAGTTAAAAAAAAATACTTCATAGTGTGAAGTAGATAACGTTCATGTCTTGAACTAAACAACTGCATGATGGTAAGTATTACTTCAACTGTCCAGTGGCTATGATCAAATACCAACGTAACCCTGGATTGGCTTTTAAAATGGTTATTCGGTCTTTTTCATAACTGCGAAAGCCTAGAACGGTTAACTTTCGTATAGAAAATACATTTTTAAAAGGCGTTCATGAATACGCCTTTTTAACTCGCCTATTCGGAGAATAGGGGTTGGGGATGATAATGTAGCACCCCCGGCGTCAGCGTCGGCGTCCCACTTCCGGGGTGAAGTTAATTTTTGGGCTAGGTTTTTCTAGACACTATCTGATCATCACACTCCATACACTGTTGTCTATTATAAGGTTGAGGCATTTATATGGCAATGCAATTTATATGGAATGAAAGAAATGAGCGGAACCATATTTTCATATTCTTTGGCCAAAAACTGCTTAATTGGACTTGGTTGAATATTTTGGGCCTTTTTTTGTGCAGTATTGGATCTCCGCCATCAATAGGCTGTTGCCTATTATAAGGTTGGGGTATTTATATGGCGTGTAAGCTTCCAGTAAAAACTGTAAGACAAACATGTATAAATATTGCCGTCCATGCCGAAGCTTTATTTGAAGTTAAATGGGTTGGGTTCACCATCATCATTCTTGATGAAATAGCTGCACATGTTCTTACGCATTGTAATACTACCATCTAAACTTATATTACATAACTGATGAAACCACTCGATATGTCTACATCAATTAATTTAAGGCAAAAATTGCTTGCACAAATAATTCAATGGTTGTACGACCGAATCAAAGTCATCATTACATGTGACCTATTTAAGGACTGATTGCTCAAAACATTTAAGGTTATTTCACTGATATGACCTTATACTTCAATATTTGTATATATTCATCTGTATAAAACAGACTGTAACTTTCCTTTAACCCGGAATCTGTAGATGTATGGTTCACCAACATTGTCTACAACAAAAAACATGTGGGGTTCACCTGCTGAAACAGGGGTCAGCTATCACGTGGTTTAGACTGGACCAATGAAATTGTATTCCAAAATTAATCACCGGGAAATTCAAATGATATATTGCACATGAATATATACGTTTGTGAAAAAAGATGTCTATTGCTAGACTTTTATTTTTACACTGCACTTCTATAGTTATAAACCCTCACACCTCCTTACAGGGCAGCAAGCTCTGTTTACTCAGAGAAAATGACACAACAAGGCATTGGCGGAACATGGCTCATCTCTTGGATGGCCGAAAGTTTATTTAACATATTTTAGGATTAAAATATTTTCAGATATCATTTTTTATGAGTAAAGTTGCGGCCTATAAATTAAGCGCCACAAAAGTGAAACGTTATGATGACGCCGCCACTCTTATTTATATTGCCATCATTTGTTCGAAGAGACGTTGGCGTTATAAAGGTGTTTGGCAATCAATTGAGGGAAACGTATAAAGGAATTCTTAGGAAAAAGAGAATGATAAATGAGGTGGCAAATGAAATGACGGGCATTATATCGCGGTTGTAATGAACATGTGTTTCTATTGATATTTGCTATCTTATAATAGCATATATCACCAATCGGGGAGCTATGCTGTTCTCCAACAGCTCTTGTTAAAATGAAATGCGTTATTACATAGAAATCGTTACAGCGTGAATAAAAGCGTTTTTACGTGAACTAAGTTGTAATAGCCGCCTTTTTGCGTTGTTACGACTTTTAAAAATAGGCGTTATTACGACCTTATTCGCATTATTATGACTTGAAAGGTATCACAGCGTCTTTTTCGCGTTTTTTGTTTTCAAAATGCGTATTAACGCGATTTAAAATAACATTTTCTATTCAAAAGATGACCCTTGTAGGCTTTCGTTCATAATAAAACTCCAGGGACATTACATTTAAACACGTAAACCGGGGTGTAGGTCTGAAAGCCCTTTTCAAAAGGAGTGCACTGTCACACAAATAAAAACAAATCCAGTCCAAATATGATCCAGGCAAATTGAATGACAGCCTGCAGTTCGCGGTGATTTTGCTGAATATTGACTTTTTATATTCCGGGCTCGACACATTTTGTCTGAACTTGTCTAGTTTTAGTGACTTGGTATCTGGTATAGACCAGCGGATACAAATACTGCGATAGAGACTCAATTCGTCCATGATAGATTATAATGATATGTTTAATTAAAATATAGACTTTAAATTAAACAATATCGGGGCCAACACGCCACCAGATAATCGGGGGATGAGTATTAGAATGATGGCTTACTATAAAAATACCCAGACAGTCAGGTTTATGAAACACGGGTAAAGCGTCCCGTTGTAGTAAACATAGTCTCGACAGGTACGTATCCAGGGATATTTTAAGTAAACAAAAGGGGGTGTTCTCGTTTCCCCCACTTTTTATATAACAAAGGAAAGTGTTGATTTAGGAAGACAATGGCAAACCAATTATAGTCTGTTTCATACTTACCCCACAGGTAACTTACCTGTGTAAAAGTTACCTGTGTGACATGTAGCTTTGTTGTTTATGTTGGGTATAAATATTTCGCGGATTTATGCAAAGTGCACAATTTGTTTACGGTATATACCGTATATACCAAAACAAAATCTTGGTCATTCCTTAAATATTTACATTACACTTTTAAACAGATAATATAGAATATAACAGCACTACATCAGAGTTCACAATCGAGTATTTCATTACTTATACCACGGACTTAGATAACAATCTAATTCCGTGGTTACGACGTAGTCTGTGAAAGGTGTTGTGTTCACGGATAGGTCAGCATCCTCACGTTCATCTAAAGCGTTGAACCACGCATCGTCCACACTATCCAGGGGCACCATGGGTAACACTGCGGCCAATTGCAAGCGCACAAGTCGATTGGTGTTGATGTTCTCTCCATATGCATTGCGTGAAGTTGAAAAAACAGCCCTTGGTGGTCTTAACTTCTCACCTCTGTTGTTCTTAACACTATAAAATGTAACCTTCATATGCAAGACTTCGTCCGCCACGTTTGTTTCTTACAAACTTGACCTGAATCTGTGCATTCGCCATGGTCTCGTAGTCTAGTAGTCGGTAGTAGTCTAGTAGTGGGTAGTAGTGGGTAGTAGTCTAGTAGTGGGAAGTAGTCTCATAGTTTCGTAGATATTCTAGTTTCACTGTAATACTGCTTGAGCTGTACAGTTGGATATAATGGTAACACTCATCATCATCTCAGTAATTAGCATAGGCCGTGATCACTTTTAGCTCACCTTGATAGAAATGATAGCTTTGATAATTAAAGATGTTCAATGATTTTTATGATAGTAATAAGATACTTATAACATCTAGGAATTTCGATTAATTAACTGATTAATTAACTGTTCAACACCGCACTCTTAGTCACACATTACATTCTCACATTTTGTACAAGGTAATTCAATTCAATTTATTACCAAATGCACATTGCATATAAAGGCGTACAGAAATATACATATAGATAAATACTTTACAAATATCTTGTACAATGGCGGAGAACATATGCAATAGATTCAATTCCATACATAATAATTACAAATTATCAAAATCGTCATAAGTTTGGGAAAACTTTAAGGTTTTCCTAAGGTAACTTAGCGGACTCTTATGAAGCATACTTGAGTTGTTTATGAAATAATATAAATAAAGCCTTAATCTAACCAAATTTCTAGGAAATAACAAAACTTCAAAGTCAATCATACAACCTCAACATGAAGGTATCTTATTAAATGTTACA